GCTTATTCAGACACATTATCTTTAGGCCTTAACTACATGGTTTCAGTTTCATCTAAAAATAATACTCGTCCGATTTTAAATATAAGATCCACTTTTTAGTATAAATTATACTACAAAATAGGTTTTATATTTAGGATTGAAAGAGTACCAAATAGTTGTTATGCACTTATAATTTTAAAAAGACTAGTTTTAAATCCTGCAATTTCCCAGAAAATGTATTTTAAATTTTTTTAATGATGATACTTATATTTTTTGGTTGATGTATAAAATTATTTTTATTTTTTTCCTCCAAATATTTCTGAACTAGCCAATGACTCGCATCACAAGGGATCTGAATCGAGAATGAAGAGTTGCTGCTATATGCCTTCCTATAACCCTTTTCATTTTCATTTGTAGTATTTAATTTCAGAATCACTATTCTTTCTTGGATTTCTTGTATTTACTTCTGAAATTTCTGGGTAACTAAAACAGGCTACATTTCTTCCCCTTCTTTTTTTCCTTTTTTCTTTCTTTCTTTCTCCTCTGTGCTGTTAGCCTGTAGCTTCATCTTCTCTGGACTGCCCAATGGCATGGCCAAATTATTCAGATTTTATTTCATGCCTGTTCAAATTTATTCTGTGCCTGATGCAAATAACACCTTTCTCTCTTTGAATTCCCTACGATCCATTATTCCTAGTTTTGGAACACAGATCTCACAAGAACGGTATAAATTTTTTCCTTACTTATACGATGCTTTATTAATTCCAATCAAGAACACTGCCAAAGTTAATTCCTTTTCATGCGGATTATAATGCCTTCTTTCTACTATTTTTGTCTGATTTATATTCTTTTGGCCTAGCTAGAGTCCCATATGTTGCACCAAATCTCAAATATGCTTTGTAAATAATGAGTTTTGAAGAAACCTCCCAATCAGTTTCGAACATTACAGATTGATCCCACCATGCTCTGTTTTAGAGCAAGTAAAACAGAGCTTTATTTTGTGTTTGGACGATGATGATGATGATGATGATCGTAATAATAATTGCCCTTGTCCGAGGATTGAGGAAAAAATCAATTAAGTCATTCATGAGTCAAATATTATCGATATATAACTTCACAGATTTTCTCGTTAAACGTATTAGAATCATATGGTTTATTTGATGATCTAACACGATACCGAAATAAGGATTATGAAATAGAATAAATATGGCCATGTTTAAAGTAATCATCTGTCTAAAGGATTATGATTTTTCTACTTGTTACTCATAAGTGAAAATGTTGGCAATCAAGATGCTTATATGTCTGTCTTCAACTGAGCCAAAAGATTACAAAATAACGTCAAAAATGACGTCGATTCCTCCCACTGGAAAAAAGTTATTCAAATGGGACAATGAAAACATCATTTTTGAGATGATAAGAACATGACAACGAAAGGTTATTAAAATAAGACAATAAAAGGAAACGTCATTTTTGGCATCTCGGAAATAACATCCTTAAAAACAGAGTCATAGCTTTATGGTTGTTGTGGAGTCTTCAGAGATCGGTAATACTAACCATAGAAGAAACATCGTTATCCACTTAAATGTATTGTGCTTCGTGCGAGAACAAAGCGTAGCTCATCATGTTGATTTTGTTTTGCTGAAAGATTACGTATGGTCAAGCGATCTGTGTTCAGAAACAACAATAATATTTTTATCAAACAAATACCGGAGTCAATTTTAAACAAGTCTTTATGCATGACTTAGGAGCATTCTCTTCTTTTTTGTTTGGGGGGGGGGGGGGACCACAAAATTTGGTTTATCATGGTAATGATGATTACCAAAAATTTGGTAATCTCTGTTCATACTTTCCTCATGAATACTTATTACCATCCCATTGCATGTTTTAAAAAGTTTTATTTACCCATCATATCTAATATAAAAAGACACAAAATACCCTCAATCCCTCCGCTCATCTTCTTTTTCCTTGGACTTCTTCTTCCCCCGCTTCTATCTCACTCATTTCCATTGTCGATGGTGTCATCATCAATGCCCCACTACCTCCTTCCTTTGCCTCCACCATCTTCTTCAATGCCGATGGAGCCTGTTCCTTCAATGCCAACAAAGTTTCATCTCTCAATCATGACTCCTTCTCACAATTGCACTCCAAGGCTTTCATTTTTGAAGTTCAATCTCAACACCAAGCAATTGAAGAGGATGTAGGAAGAGGAGGATCAATAGTTTTGATTTTCCCAAAGACTCAAAAAATTGATTCCAAATTTGTATAGTTAGTTCCAGGTTTAATTTGTCATTCTTTGTGTCTTAGTTAGTTACTTCCAGAAAATTGGTTCCAAATCTGTATAGTTTGTGGCTAGACTTGTGCTTCATGAGTTTTGATTCTATACTGAAATTAATGTCATGCATGTTTCCCTTGTCATTTTATTTTTTGTCGTTGAAGAAATACAAAAGGAGAAGGCAAACCTTTTTTTTTTTTTTTCCTGTTGGATAATGATATTTTGGTCTTTTATGTGTTTACATATATAATCTAGTATAAAAATTAATTTTCTTTTGTACATCTCCAATGTCATACTAAACATTCTGATGGTAATCAAGATTGCATTACACCTCATTGCATTGCATAGTAGAGGATACGTCTAACTGAACCAAACAGGCCCTTACTATTTATATACTCAATCCAGTCCTTATCAAAACCCAAAAGATAAGCATCCTTCAAATGTTTTGCCAACATCACCTTGTCGGCCTCGGTGATGGTGAAGGGATGGTTCGAGATTATGTAGCAATCTATATACATAGAGGAAAAATAATCTCACTTTTGGGGATGTCTTTTTATGAAGCATTACCCTTTATAAGCTGCTCCCATTTCGCTCGCCACTACTATGGGAATCATTTTTGCTTTCTTTTTCTCTGGCTACTAAGATGTTTCAATTCGCCAGGTTGTCTCTTGCCTGCCCATGGATTCAGTAGCAGTTCGAAAGGTTGACCTATTCGGGAATCTCTGGATTTACGCTTATTTTCAATCGAAGCATTTATAACACTTGGACTTCTTTCTTGGTTAGTCTTCATTGAAAAGAAAAGAAAAGAAATGAATGAGTATTTAGTAGAAAATCAATTCAACTAGTATTAAAAAAGAGAAAGAAAGTTTTATGAGAAATGACTTATTTGTGTGTGTACAGTTGTTCTGGCTACATAGGATAAGTTGACCTTTCCCCAAAAAAAATTGGTATTATTAATGATTTATCTTTACTCAAACATAAAAATTGTTTTTTCATCTCTTGTCATTTTGCATAGTGAACTTAATGTTTAGTAGGAGTATTAACTTTATAGTCCCTGTTTTGATAATTCTTTTTTTTAAAAAAAAAAATCAATCTCCTCATGAACTTTCCAAATGACATAAATACCCTTAATTATGCTGCCCTGTTTCTAACAAAGTGACTGTTAGAGAAAGTCTTTGGCATGTTAGGGACATGGATATCTCGCACAAAATCTCAAATATGAATCGTGTTTTTCATAATGCTTCCCAATAATGTGGTTTGTTAGAGTTTTAATACTCCTTTAATCCTATTTATAGGGCTAAGAGAAAATAAGTTTTTTGGTTCTATTTATAGAGTAGAGAGATAGATTTTTCATATAAATGTACACCTTTACCCTTTCTTTATTATTATATTGACTTTGTTTTCAGGGGATATAATGTATATTAAATAGGGTTAAAGTTAAAAAGTTATTAAATTTAAATGAGAGTTAATGAAGTTTAAGATTTTCATTGGTTTGTATGAAACATGTTAGAAGTTACTTATAGATATAATCAGAAGAGTAGCGAAAGTGATATTTGTGCAGTTTTGGGCAATTCATTTTCGCCATACCGTTTTGGAAATATCACCTTGAAAATACATAAGCCTTTGGTGATAAAGAGAAATTAAGAAAGTGAGGGACCATTGGCAGCCCTTGAAGTGAAAATGCCTGCTTTGAAAAGAATCAATCTGTAAGTAAAGTATATTTGATATTAGCATCTCAAATGCCATGTTTTATTACATTCTTAATTATAAACATAACAGAGGCTCATTATATATGCATGGAAAGAGAGAAATTCTAAAGTATTTGATGATAAAAAGTTCCCCCGTTTGCAAATTCTAAAATCTGAAATTAGTGTGAAAGTGAGATATTGTCTTCCAGAGAAAGCAAGGCAAGTTGATATAGATGATCTTAGAGTCTGCATTATTGTGTAGAATCCATATTGTAAATGTTATAAATTTTTTGTCACCAATAGAGATTTTGGAAAAGATACTTAAGAACTCGTTTCAAAAGGTGGCCTAAATTTCTTTTACTCCCCGTTTGTGTGCACGTAGTTGTTCTGGTTTATGCGACGAATTAAAATTCCAAAAAGAAAAAGCAAAATTCTCGCTTGACGTTAAGGCCTCGATCGCATAGGGAAGGGAATTTGCGTCACTTGCATGTACGATGCCGTTTTCAATATCCAACAAGAACAGGGGAAAGACTCAGATAGCATAAAACATTAGAACGGATGAATTCATTAATTCAGAATTAAAGAGAGGTAAGTTGATAAAGACTTGTAATTTGCTTTAAAGCAGGTACAACAGATCTTTGTTTTGTGTTTGAATTATTATTATTATTCAATAACTTAATATTCAAAATTAAATAAATTAATATATATTTAACATTGACTGTCTTTGTGCAAAAAGAAATTAGTAAAGAAGAATATTATAAACTGCATTCAGTTCCATCCACTCAAATATAAAAATGTCAATATGTTTTGCAAACATTTTTCCACATGGAGAGCAGTCTCGTGATAACATATACATGAAGTGAACATCTTTTAATCACTCAAAAACAACAAACACGAAGCATGAAAATAAAAGTACAAGTTTCTGGTCACACCTGTAATTTTAGTGAAATTCAAAAGCATCTCTAAACACCCTCAACATTGCAGAGTTTGATATCAATAGATGAAGTGCACATCTTTTAATAACCCAAAAAAAAACATGAAGCAAGGAAAAGAAATCCAAGCTAGAATCCAAAATGTTTATTTTTAGCAGCAATCATTTCCCTGTATTGGTTTTGCCTTGCTAGAATCTCTTGTCGGGCCTTTGAAAGCTGAGTATGATTTGCCATCACATTTGCATCCTCTTGTAACGCAGCTTCCAGGTGCTTTTGAGCCATTTCGGCCACTTGAGCTGCCTTAACCTCTTGATTTCGACTAGCCGCAAGCATTGCCTCATTGGTCTTGAGATCACTGTCCAAACCCGTTATAATTTCTTGGATGCCATCAAAATCAGATAAATCACTATTAAAAACCTTAGTCTTGATAGATTCAAGCCAGTCCTTATCAAAACCAACAAAACGAGCATCCTTTAATTTCTCTTCCAACAACCTCTTGTCTGCCTCAGTGATTGTGAAGGGTGTTCTGGTGGTTAGAATGTGGAGTATATCAATCAATACCCTATAGGATACGCACAGCATTTGGGTGCTTCGATCATTTGTAGACAGACGCAGTTGTGGGTGAGTTTTGAGTGCCTCTTCCAATAAAGAAGTGTCAGAACCCTCTAATTTCATCATCTCAACTATCTCTTGCACTCCACTAATATTCAAAGCTTGGTCAGTCTCAAGAACAGAAGGTGCCGAATCTGAAGGAGTAGAAAATGGAAGCAACGAAGATTGTGCATGCTCAGTATTAATATTTGATGATTTTGTCACATCAGGATGCTTAATTTGGCCTAATAAACCATCACATTATTAGTAGAATATTTCAGTGGCCCAAATCAACGTGATCAACATTAAAGGAGATAGATAGATAACCTCTAGAACATGACAGCTCTTGTTCCATCTGCCAAAGATTGCTTGGGTCATCAGCCACATGCTCACTTGAATTTGGTTGGCCACCACGGGACGCCATTTTTGTCTTGGATTCATCTTGAGTTACATTTGTCTCATTGATGTCCTTGTCATTATTAACACCCTTGTATCGAGTCGTTGGCCGTGGAATGGGGACGCCATTACCAATGACAGTGGCAGGAGGCTTATCAGAAACTTTAATGTCATCTGCAACACCATGAGTTTGCTGGTTAGTGGTTTCAAAACCATTTTTTCTATTTCTTCTTAAACTAGTGAATTAATGATAGAATGAAAACTATCTAAAAATTAATCGAGAAAGACGACACCCAAAGAAGAGTACAAGGAAACTCACTACCAGTAGGCTTGCAGAGTGAAGCTTTTGAAGACTTAGGACTCTGTGGCAAGAGTGCCTTAGAAGTTTGCTCACTTGAAACAGTTGTCATGCATGGCACAAATGGGTCTCCTATGAAAACATGTGTACAGAATATATAGTTATCAAATGATCTAAAGATAAAAGATTTCATTTATAGAAAGCAATTGAGTATCATACCATGAATGGAAGTCTTAGGCTTTTCTTTGAGGAAAGAGTTCTTTGCTTTTATGTCACTTTGACGATGTCGGGTAGTTATCAAGCCACCTACAAAGCCCAAAATAAGTAATCAATATATTACTTATAAGACAAGACACTAATATATATGTTACCTTCTTTTTCCTCTTCCTCTTCCTCATCCTCATGAGATCGTATATCATATCTTGTCATTTCTTCTTTTGACTGTGGCTCCATCATGATTGATTCCGTTTTCACTTCTTTGTTGACTGACTCATCCTATGTGAAGATAAATATGAGAGGGACATAAGTTCAAATATCTAGCATAAATATATGTATTGATATTAGAAATAACAATAAGTCACATTTGAGTATTAATTCTATAAGGAACTAAATGCTACGTTTGTAGTTAATATTACTTTTATTAGTTCTAATTAAATCAATTAGATGATGTTTCAGTTTTCTTTTGAATTTTGGCTCTGGGGTATGCTTGAATACCACTTTTTTTTTTTTAAATTAACCTGCCTCAAACAAAATGGTTAGTGCTTGTTTTTTAGGCTGCATTTGATATACCATGCAATGTACCTTTGTAAAGTTCTGTGAGCCCAATGTTGATTGTTGTGGATCAATCATGGTTCTTTCATTTCTCGCCACTTTGCCCACCAACTCGTCCTATGCGAAAAATAAATATATAAAAGGCAAAAGTTCGAACAAGCTAGCATGAATAAAGAATAATAATCTACAAGTAAAAGATGATGATGGTAATGATAATAATAATATGACTTTTGAAGATGCATTTTATGGACCAGTTTTGTTTATAATAGATATTCCGCTCATAATCATTCCCTAAAAAAGAAAAATAGAATTACTTATGCAGTAGGATCTTTCTTTACTTTCATTGTTAGAAAGAAATCTTATTCTATACTAGTTTTTTTGTTTTGTATTTTGACCGATGCCTCTATTAGTATATAATCAAGGGAAAATCATAGAGAAATCCCACTAAGCAACTTATTTACTAATAGATCCTATTCACATAGCACCTGTGGTATTTACGTGTAATCCTCCATAATTAAAAAGAAATATGTCTCCTTTATCTGTTTGTTTGGTGTTTTAATTTATTAAAAAAACAGAGAATAAGTTTAATTTTGCGGTAATTTTCTTGATCAACACCTTAGTAAAAATGAAACAAACAGATAGATAGATAGATAAAGAGACAAGGCAAAACATACTGATTGTCCTATTACATTTGAATCAGATGATAAATTTGTCATCTTTGGCTTCTCAAAAATAAGACCCTCTTCAACAATTTCCTTCGCATCTTTGTTAGTACCCTAACCAACGCCACATGATAAAAAACTTTAGTTATGAATGAAAATGTGCACGTGTCTCTGTATATGATTGCAGCTCTATTCGGATTTCAAATATGACATCAAATTCAATTTTTTATGCCAACATTTAGAGTAAAAAAATCATGGTTTGCTTCAAGATAACTTGAAACAAAGAAAGAGAAAGAAAATGAATATGCTGTACTAGTGTGGTGGCATATGTTAAAGCTTGTAGACATAATCATGCTGGTGACAAGAGAAAGTAATAAAACGCCATTAACAAAAATAATATATGTACAGCAATGAAATGAGATATACTCTTTTGAAATTTGAGGAATCACTTGTGGATTGTTGGGGTTCTAAGGCTTGTCTTCCCTTTGTATGGGAAAAAAGATTCTGCTCTGTCTCTTCCCTAACTTTAGAATAATCTTGATTCTTACAGTCATCAGAAAATTGAGTGGTTGTAGTTTCTGCAAGTACATAATAATTTTCAATTTGAATTAATGACTGGCTTCTTTGAATGCATGCCATAAAAAGAAAATTTGGAACAATCATGTACTATAGAAGATTTTTTTCAATTTCTTATATTAAAACCCGAATAATTTACCTTTCATATGTTTGCGTGAATACATTTAAATAATATTCCTATTCCTTTTGTGTGTTAGGTTACCTGTATCAACTCTTATATTGCCACTTCCACTTGAGACGGTGGCATGGCCAAGGGATTTGTGAGAAGCTTGAACATCATTTGCAACATTAGAAGTTTGTTGGTTAGTGGATTCAACATCATTATGAAGATTTCTTCCTAAAGTAATCAAGAAATATAATGTTAAAATGAAAACAATCCAAAATCTAATTGCAAAAGAAAATGAAGATTTATAATAGGTAGAATCACTAATGAGGCATAGACTAAAGTCTTCTGCAAGGTTAGTGACACTCGTTGTAGCAAGATTAGCTTCTGCTATGTATGAATAAAACTTGAATGAAATTTCAAGATAAGATGACAACAAAGAAAATCACCATTGGAAGGCTTGGGGAGAACGGTTGAAAGACTTTGATTGAGGCTTGTTGAAGCTTTTGTTGACATAGGACTCAATGGCAAGATTGCCTCAGAAGTTTGCTCACTTGAAATAATTGTTACAGGTGGCACAGCTAGGTCATCTATGAAAAAATGATTATTATATCAAAACAAATGATGAAATAACTCATTGAAAGAAAGAAACAAGTACCATCAATAGAGGTTTTGGACTCCTCCTCTGATAAAGAACTGCTAGACTTCATGCCACTTATTTGAGGATGTCGAGATGTTATCAAGCTCTCTAAAACCCAAAATAAATAACCAGTACTTTCTACAAAGCTAACACATCAATATTTTACCTTCCTCTTCCTCTTCCTTTTCAAAAATTTTGGCACTTGCATGAGTGTTGTCTCTTGTAGGAAGAACAGTGAGGTTGGGACTTGTATGAATTGGCGCCTTCTATTAGAAACCAGTGGCCATATAAAACAATGATCATAAATTAGTGTAGTTGCTTTCTTTGTACTCCAACCAACACCGCAACATATAAAAAGAGGGTTTACGGAGAGTGGCTAACAAATAAGTCTTAAAATTTGTTTGAACCCAATGATAAAAAGAAGCTCTACTTAGTTCATGTCAAATTCATTAAAAATTTGGAATACACACACTATATTTATGTGTGTTAGAGTTTATTGTTGGCATTTTAAATATCCCCTTCAAATTATATGTTTTTCTACCAGCAACTAGATTTGTTAGGAGGGAAAAAACATAATTGGGTTTATATCACAACTGTAAAGCACGGAAAGAAAATTATTGTGTAATAGAGACATAAATAAAGAATAAAAATCTATAAATAAAAATAATTTAATCTTAGTTTTGGTGGCACCTTGTTAAATCAGTTCTAATTATTCAGCATGAAAAAGAATTAATTTTTAGCTAATATTTAGTAGTAATTATAAAATTTGAATTTTGAATACTGGTTAAATAAGTTAAGTTGACCCAAAAGTTGGAAAGAAAAAGTTTAAATAAGACAATATAGAGCAAAATTATAATTATAAAAAAATGCCCAAAAATTAGAGAAAAGATTTTCAAAGCATATCTGAGGTTTAGGGATATTATTTAAAGACTAAAGTATATATTTGGTTCTTTAACTTAACGTTAAAAAGTATATTTTTAGTTATTTAATTCTAAAATTATTAGACTTAGATGATATTTTTTGTAACAATTATGGTTATTTTGAAAATTACTATGTTAACATTTGAGAATGTTTTATCAACATTTAAGTTTTTAACGTCATCTTTTTTGTTAAAAATTTTAGAGTTAAATGACTAAAAAAATATACTTTTTAAAGTTGAAAGACCAAATTGAAACTCTGTATAAAATTAAAAGACTAAATGAATACTTTATTCTCATTTATAATATAAATGTCTCAAGAATGAATTATATATTGATCAAAAAGCCTATTTTATATGAGAATTTAAGGAAATAAAAATAAAAATAATTATTAAAATTATTTAAGTCCTAGGAAAATTATGAAAAATATTATGAAATATTATTTTGAGAATTTAGAAATATTATGAAGGGGCTTATATTTTCCAAAATTGACTTAATAATTTTAAAAATAATTTATGGGAGAGAGGGGCCTACTTATAAAAAAATTGAAGTGAATATACTCAGGAGCTAATGCTAAGCCTTAAAGTTTTAGAAAAATTATTTTAGGAGCTGGAGAAGTTAATTTAAAAACCTTTATACCAAGTGTCCCAGACTAGGTTTAGAAATTTATTGGGAAAGTTTAGTACTCCGCTAGTTCTTTTTATAAAAGCATGATAACTAAATTATACGATTTAAGAAAATAATAAAATTAGTTTAACAAATATTTATATTTATATATATGAGAAATACCTTTTTTTTTTCAAATATACCCTTATTTATAAGGGGGTAAGTGAGAAAAAAAATAAAGTAATAATAAGAGAAAGTATGAAAGAGAATGTAAAATGCCAACCTGTCAGCCTGTTAATTAAAGCAATGTATAAAATTAATTAGAGACAAAACTGATAAAGGCGCATTAAATGTTTAAACAACCCCAAGTAGGCTCTTATAAAAGGAACTTAGGCAATTCAAATTTCATGTTTTTATAGAAAGGACTAGAGGGAGTACTGATTAGTAATGGGTACAATAGCAATTTCCCTTTCTCAGACCTAAAAAGGAAATTGGGCCCATGGATAGCCCAATTGAAAAAGCATTTTACGCACTTGTCCAAAAAAGAAGAGCATCGGATTTGTTGGGTTGGGACTCATGAAATGCCAAAGTAAGAAGCTCATGGGGTAAATTTGCAAGGAATAAGTAATATTTATATGTATGTATGTATGTTGCCCCACATTCATTTTCGCCCTTGCAACAGCAAAGAAAGAGAGAGCTGGGGGAAGGCAAAGAAGTGATCGAGGAAGAAGGAAAGTTCTCCCCTCACTTGCAACCGAACGTTTAAACCAAGTAAGAAGCTTAAACCTTATTCCATCAATATTTTTTCCAGTGGCTGTGTGTTCTGCAAATAGATGAGAGGCTTAAATCTGGTTTTTAGATGATGGTCAAAGCTTGGGGGGTTCATTTTATCCCATGCATGTTGATTTGTGTGAGAAGAAGCGGAATTTTGAATCTGGGGCTTTTGTTTCAAGGGAATATTATTTGACTTCTCTTATAGGAGCTGAAATCTGGAATTGGGAAGCTGAATTTTTCCCCCTGTTATAATGTTCATTATGTACCAAAATTTATATCTAAGTGGGAAATAAGTTTTATTCTGCTCCCTTGTTCGGTCAAAGTAACTGGAAGGGAGAGAATTAAGTTCGGATGGATCTAAATTCTAAACCCCTAAATGTATTTTTAAGAGGAGTTTATGAATCTGGAAAATCTCCAAACGTAAAGGGAAGGCTGTCCAACACTTTAAAAATGGATGAACTACACATGTAAAGGGTCTAGCGGCTCCTATATATAGTGATTAGATAGGCAATGGGAATATCAAAGCATTAGCGTTGTGAACTTTAACTCCTATCCCCTGTTTGGACAGCACCATTTAGATGTTCATTGAATTAAAATGTTGTAACGCAAAGAGGTTTGAATGTTACTGTTTTGACATGTTATAACGTGGAACAATTGTTTTAGATTCCCAAACTACACCAGAGGCACGTCGAAAGGCTCCTAGCTTGGGTCTGGTGAGTCTTTTAAAGTGACTGGCAATAAAAAGATTAAATTTTTTAAGCTTTTCACTCAGGTTCTGTTTTGGATAGCATAGTTTTAGTAAGAGGAAGTTAAGTTTTGGTTAAATTCGAATATGGTAATAAGCTTTAAGTTTTAGTAGCAAGTCTCTAGCATAAGTTTGGGAAAAATATTATACCAGATCCATTGGGGGGATATATTAACACTAGCAAGAGAAGTCGAACAGAGTCATACCTTTTTTTCCTCTGGCGCATCCTCAATTGAAAAATCTTTCAAAGTAGGGAAGTCCATGTGAATTTTGCTACTCTCGTTCTGATGAGTTATATTGTCTTCATGTTGGTTTCTTCCAAATACATATTTCAACATAGGAGCCCTTTTGAGCACCAAAGATTCCAAATATGCAGGGCATGTGAAAGCATATGCAGGGAATAAATATTCCAATGCGTGGCAGTCTGAAACTTCTAACCGTTTCAACTTTGGAAAGATGGAATTATAGCTCATGTGAGTTCCAGCATCTGCCTCATCTTCTACAATGCACTTCAGTTTATGACAGTTCAGTATTGACAAATCTTCCAACAAAATTGTTGAGGCAAGGGATAGAGTTGACAATGATATTATGTTCCAACATCCGAATAGTTCTATTTTTCTAACATTCTTCAATGATTGCGTCAACAAGATTTGAGATGCATGGAAAGGAGGAACTCTGCCTGTAGATGAATTTAATTCCTACAAACACAAATCTTTAAAAAGTTATACCTATCACCAACAGAATAAATCACTCTTATTTTAAAATAAACAGTATGCAAGATTGGAATATATAATAATACATAATAAATCAAAGATATTTTTAACATAACAACAATTAGTAAAATAAATCATTCTTGTTCCAGAACAAACAATCAGTGAAGACTTGTTGAAAAAAAAACAATCAGTAAAATTTGAGCTTGTAAATTTTTTATGTAGTCATATCATATACAACAAATAATATCAGAGCAAATAAAAACTTAATTCAACTCTTTACGAGCTCCCTTACGCCCCATTCCGTTTGATGATTTGTTAATAAAAAATTACGTAAAATGTTTATGATGGGGAAAAAAAAAATCTTTTCAATCTAAATGATTATTGCCTTTGTGTGTGTTATTCTGCCCGACATATGGATAAAGATCGGAATCTGTAAAAGATTTGCAATTTGACCCAACGGTTTTATTTAATATTAACTTGGTCCATACAATTTCATTAAATAAATAATTAAATTATCCACATACCTAAGTATAGGAGTGGTTAGAAAAAGAACACAGCACATTAACTGAAACCGTATTGATGTCAATAAGGCACTCAAAGCTTGAGATATATTTCATCTGACATTTTGAAATCATTAAGACCAAATTAATGCTACTTAATAAACAATGAATCTAAAAGCTGAATTGAGCCGGAAGAAAAACGCTCAACATATAAAGACAGTCATAATAATTTCATTTTGATCAAATAATACTCCATTTGTAATTAGCATTATCAAAACAGAACAAATCATATGCATAGAAGTTAAAGAGAGTGTACCTCTGAAGTCGTCACATTCACCATGTCATAATCATCAAAAGATTTAATGCCGCAATTCCCCATCACAACATTCTGAAGAGATGCCAGATCCATCTTATAATTCTTAGCACAAATGCTTTTGATCTTTGGCGCATCTTCAATGTACAGGTTCGCCAAAGCAGGGAGCTCGAAATGCAGCTCTTCATTTTGTTGATCCTGCTGGTAGTTCCCAACAATATATTTTAGTTCAGGAACTTCCCTAATATACAAAGACTTCAATTTTTGAAGACCACCAGATATTGATGATTGAAATACAAATTCCAACTCCCTGCAATAATTAATTTCCAGTTTCTCTAGTGTTGGAAAAATGGAACAATAATTCTTATTATCAACTTGAGCATCTCCCTCATGTGTCGTGATGCACTTCAGTTTATGACATTTACTGATTGACAAACTTTCCAACGAAATTGTTGAGGCCGCAATGGAGAGAGTTGACAGTGATAATATGTTCCCACATTTCCATAGTTTTATTTTCGTAACATTCTTCAATGATTGCACCAAAAGGCTTTGAGCTACAAGGAAAGGAGGAACTCCTTCTGTGGATGCACCTACTTCCTACAAACACAAATCAATGCATAATAAATCAAGAAAATAAATCATTCTTATTCCAAAACAAATATATAAAATTTAAATATACATTAATACATAATAAGCTTTGAGATGCATGGAAAGAGGAACTCCATCTGTAGATGAATTTAATTCCTACAAAGACAAATCTTTAAAAAGGTATATCTATCACCAACAGAATAAATCACTCTTATTTTAAAATAAACAATATGCAAAATTGGAATATATAATAATACATAATAACTCAATGATATTTTTTTTGCTCAAAAAAATCAAAGATATTTTTAACAACAACAATTAGTAAAATAAATTATTCTTATTCCAGCGAAGATTTATTGGAAAAAAACAATCAGTGAAGATTTGAGTATGTAAATTTTTTATGTAGTCATATCGTATACGACAAATAATATCAAAGAAAATAGAAACTTAATTCAACTCTTTATGAGCTGCCTTACACCCCATTCCATTTGATAACTTGTTAACAAAAATTACGTAAAATGCTTATAATGGGGAAAAAAATCTTTTCAATTTAAAATGACTATTGCCTGTGTTTGTCTTATTGCGTCCGACATATATAGATAAAGATTGGAATCTGTAAAAGATTTGCAATTCAACCCATATGTTTTATTTAATATTAAGGTGGTCCATACAGTTTCATTAAATAAATAATTAAATTATCATCATACGTAAGTCGTAGTAGTTAATAACAGAACACAACACATTAAGTAAAATTATGTTACGTTGATGTCAATAAGGCACTCAAAGCTTGAGATATATTTCTTCTGACATTTTGAAATCATTAAGACCAAATTAATGCTACTTTTTTTTTTTTGGAGCAAATTTGAGAAATAAAAATTTCATTTCCTAAATATATATGGAGCTAAATGACATAATTTTACGTGTTAAGTTGCATAATCAATTCATAACCTTTTTTTATTCGAAGTCTTTATTGGTAACCGTATATTAATATCACCCTTGTTAGGCAACAATTAATTCAATACTTGTTAATAAACAATTAATCCAAAAGCTTAATTGAGCGGGGAAAAAATGGTCAACATATAAAGATGGTCATAAATAATTTCATTTTGATCAAATAATACTCCATTTGAAATTAACATTATCAAAACAGAACAAATCACATGTACAGAAGCTAAAGAAAGTGTACCTCTGAAGTCGGCAAATTCACCATGTCATAATCATCCAAAGATTTAATGCCGCAATTCCACATCACAACATTCTGAAGAGATGACAGATCCATCTTATAATTCTTAGCACCAATGCTTTTGATCTTTGGCGCATCTTCAATGTACAGGGTCGCCAAAGCAGGGAGATCGAAATGCAGCTCTTCATTTTGCTGATCTTGCTGGTAGTTCCCAACAATATATTTTAGTTCAAGAACTTTCATGATAGTCAAAGACTTCAATTTTTGAAGACCACCAGATATTGATGATTGAAATACAAATTCCAACTCCTCGCAATCCCCAATATACAGATTCTCTAGTGTTGGGAAAATGGAACAATACTCAAATTTTATGACAACTTGGGCATCTCCCTCATGTGTTGTGATGCACTTCAGTTTATGACATTTCTGTATTCTCAAATTTTTCAATGAAATTGTTGAGGCCGCAACGGATAGATTTGACAGTGATATTAAGTTCTCACATTCTGTGAGTTCTATTTTCCTTACATTCTTCAATGATTGGACCAAAAGGCTTTGAGCTGGGTGGGAAGGAAAAACTCCACATGTGGATGGATCTAATTCCTATAAACACAAATCTTTAGAAAGCTATATTTATCGCCAAGAAAATAAATCAATCTTATTCCAAAATAAATAACATATAAAATTTAAATATACGTTAATACATAATAAATCAAAATGTTTTAAGCAAAACATCAATCGCTAAAATAAATTTATTATATCTCTTTTTGTCATATATTCATCGTCTTTCTTGAGTCCAACCCTTTGAATTATTGTGCTCCATTCTAATATTCTAATTTATAATGGCTCGACTATCAACTGATCTAAAAGCTTACTATATTAGAATATTCATAAATGATTGTGTCCAATTAATATATGTTTCAATTCACAATGACAATATGATCAACGTATTTATAAATTAATATAATTTGCTGTGTAATATGCTCATTCTTAAATGTTTGTCCTCGTCGCCCCTTTTGAGTTATAACGCCACATTTGGTTAATATTAATAAACAAGCAATTAATGTAAAAGGATTAGCATATTAGAAAATCCATAAATAATTGTATTTTTTGTATCAAAATAATTAATGTTTGTATGTAAAAAATGACATTTAAGCACCTTCTATAAACATTTTTTAACCAAAGAATCTCCTATAAATATTAATTATATAAAGGACTGTGAATTTTAAAAACGTCAAATATTGACCAAACTCCTTGGTTGAAATCAAAAGTTTTGTTGAGATGATTTTCTCACTAGTCGACATTAATTTTTTTAATGCTGCTATTTTCAATATTTTCAATACTTTTATCTATTTACTACTCTTTTTAATGCTTTCAATACAAAAGAAACTAAATGAATGTTGAAAACATCGAAGTTGAGTAATTGGGAAAAAAAAAAAGAAATTTAGGTATTAGAAAAGAAATATGAATATTGAAAATATTAAAAACAAGAATTGAAGTGGTTAAATTTATCTACTTAAACAATGAAGAATATAGAAAAGAATCAATATAAAACATTTAATTCTAACCAATAATCTTAATCCTTTTTTGAAACTTTTAAAATTCATGGTCATTAACAAAAAAAATTTATGATGTGTTTCACTGCATCCGTGATATATTTCTTTTTGACACCTAAGATCTATATACGCACACAGTTAAATTTTCAAGTGATATTTGTAGACACGCGTGAAATCTAGAAAACTAGCACATCATGTAGTCAATTTTCATCTGACTGTATTTTTACACTCTCTTTATCCAACTATAATTTCAAGAAATTTTGCAAACTAAGTATCAATCACACACGCTAAAAATTTTATGAAGTGTTTTCAAACCTCTTTTTTTTTTTTTTATATTTCACTTTTGAGTAAGGATATCAATAGAGAACAAACAACATCAAGACAAAAGGAGAGCATTACTCGGGGCCTTGCCCTTTTCTATAACCACAGAAAGGGGGGGGAGAGAGAGAGAGAGCATTACCTTTGTGGTATTCAAATTCAGTTGTGCTTTGTCTGAACAAACGTGTGGTAGAGATGGTGACACTATTTTATAATTCATGGGACCAATGTCGATGAACTTAGGTACTTTCTCTAAACAGAGGACCTCCAAAGCAGGGAGATCAAAGTGCCACTCGTCATTCTGATTTTGATCAGATAAACGATGCTGATGCTGGTATTTCTCACTGACATATGTCAGCTGAGGAGCACCTTCAATAGTCAAGGACTTTAAATTCTTAATTTCTATAGATATTGCAGACAGAAATAAAAATTCCAAGTCCACGCACTCTGAGATATAAAGTTTCTGTAACTTTGGGAAAATGGAACTGCAATTGATTTCATCTTTATAATCATCCTCCTCGCTCATTACCAAGTGCTTCAGCCCATCATAACGACTGATTGTCAATTCTTCCCATGCTATCACTGATGCCATAGATAAAGTGAACAAAGTTGATACTGAATTTGAAGAGAGAGATGCAAGTTCCATCTTCCTGATATGACCAACAACATGGAGTGCTAGTTGCCTCCCAAGTGTAGGAGCATTATCAATCCATTTCTTAGATGCAAGTAATCCCTTCAAAAAGACATTGTTGTTTACGCAATCGTAATGCTCATAGATATCTAAACAAGGAAAATAACTACGAGGTAATGAAGATTTTTGTTGTAGTAGATTATGTGTAATTTGGTTGAAATCTAGGAAACTATCATTATCCGATTATAATTTAAAGAAATTCAACAAAGATATATCATACATTTTTTATGTGTTAAGCATTGTTAACTATATTTCTTGCGATAAAAGGCATGTGTGCATGCGCATGGATGTGTTTATGTATGTGTATTTTTACCCAGGAACAATTGTTATAACAAGACGTATTTACAAAATCTCGTTACAGATTCAGTCAATCGCGCAAAAACAGGTACTTTAAATAATGTATCGTACCAAGGATCACAATAAATATTTTTAATACTCATACCTTATTTTATTTAATTGTAAATCATTTTTATTTTTGAAATAATTAACAACATATAATTCACAAGAGAGAGACTTGAATGTAAAAGAAATTTGAAGAAAAGTAGGGAAGCGAGCTGATCATACCTGTGAGATTCCTTTGTCAAGCAATCTCCCCATAGAAACAGCAACATCAGCCTCTTCACTTGTCGCCTTTGATTTAAAACAACATACTTGACCCCAAGAAAAAGAACGTATCTTGGTGCTTGAAGGTATGGGTGCTGGTCGTTGTGGTGACGAAGAGGTGGATTTTTCATACTGCCTGAAAACACCAACCAGACTTGACAGACTAACAAGTTGCATTCTTTCCACAAAGGGGAGATTAACATTGACCTCTTGGAACTTATCAAATATATATTTCAACTTCTTGCAGCGCTGTATGATTATTCTTTCTAGATGCCATCCACCATGAAGGATTGGCAATATTATTTCTAAATTGTCACAACTATCAATTTCAAGAATTTTAAACTTTGGAAACAGGGTGCCGTAGCTCTTTTGATCATTGTCACCATCACCACCAGCTATTTCCCCTCTTGAACTCTGATCTTCTACAATGCATTCCAATGCATCACATCTCCTAATGTTCAACTCTTCCAAATGCAAAAGGCTTTGAGCAGTGGATGGGAGGAAAATTGACGTCAGCTTTGGACACTCCTTCAGTTTCAAGGTCTTCAGATGACACAGGTTATAATGGCCATTAAATAATATATTGCTTAGTCCTATTTTAGAAAGATATAGTCCAACTAAATTGGAAAAGGCATTCTTCACGTCAAAGCAATTGTTCACAGCATCAATGAGACATTGCATGTCAGGCCAAGAATCCAATTGAAGAATGATCAAGTCAGTCATACCTGTGTCATCTACTGGAACAATGTCAGGGATAAGATTTTTCTGTTTTCCATGCCCACTTAAGCTAAGAAGCTCTGCTGTCCTTGCAAGTTGCCTAAATGTGGCCTCAGAGATTAAATGCGTTAAACTACCTGGCTGAAAGCATCTTGACAGGGAACCATATTGCTTAAAATAATCTAAAAAGTTGCCCTCAGAAGATATTTGATATATTTGTAAGGAAGGAAGAGATACTTCTTGAGAAATTGTATCTTCTTCTTGATGCTTGACATAATCATTACTCAAAAAAGCCAACTCCTCTAGCTTTGGGCATGCTTCAATCAATTCAAAAGGATTATTCATATTACTGTTACAATTTTCTATCCCTAAGAATCTCAACTTTTGTAGCTCAAATTTTTTTTCAGGTTTAATGATTGAGCAATCATCCAACCAAAGTGTCTCAAGATTTGATAACCCTCCCAACATAGAGATGTTGCTATGTAAATTAAAATTCTTTATCCTGAGAGTTCGAATATCTTGTAATAACTGAATTAATGGAAACAGTGATGGAGCTGAAATTCGATGCCAAGCTTTATTTTGTAAAAACAAAACTTTGAGCTTTGTCATCTCTCTAAAGAATGTATCAGGGACTTCCAAATCCTTTCGATCATCTCGAACTAGAAATAATACCTCAAGGTTTTGACTATCAAAAGGTCTCGAAAAATCATCATTTTTCCAATATAAACATTGCAACCCTTTTTTTACAGATAGTTCAGATTTAATGATGGATTGAATGTCTTCTTGTCCTATCAATAAGGCTACTTCATGAACTAAATCATGCATCTTTACACATTCCCTCTCAGCATTCAACAATAAAGAAGAACCTAGGAGTTCCACTACAGCATCAAGTGATTTTCTTCTTCTTTTGTTGTAGTCATCAACTTCCTTACCAAAAGGGCCCATTCCTACACCAATTCTAATTAAAAACTCCATGGGAATATTAAAATCTTCGGGGAATAGAGAAGATATCAATAGGAGCTTTTTGGATTTTTCATTTCTCAAATTATCATAGCTTAACTTTAAACCTTCATAGACCTTCTTCAAATCTTCATCACGAACATTGAATATTGACTCACCACTTTGCAAGTTCCTCAAGGCTTCTGTCCAAACTTTAAAAGGTCGATCTTTTAGTGATCTTGCTAGAGCTAAAATTACAACTGGTACTCCATGGCAATGCTTCACAATTTCTTGCGCCAGATTCTCCAAAGTAGAGGAGCTATTAGCATGCTCGAGGAAAAGTTGCAATGCTTCCTTATCAGTCAATGCTTGTAGATGAATGATCCTTTGACAATCCATTTTTTTACAAATCTCTTTGCTCCGAGTGGTTATCAATATAGTGCAACCCTTATGCAAGTGGGGAGGAGGAATCCCCAACTCTTTCCTGAGATCAAACTCCATCCACACATCATCTAGTACTATAAGAAGTTTCTCTTTTAACGCTTTGATTTTGGTCAATATTTTTTTGCGGTACTCTCCATCCTCTGATTTCAAACCCAAACGTCTAGCAATTTCACCTCGAAGATGTTTGAAATCTGGAAGCTTAGAGACAACAAGAAAGATGACTTTGCTGAATGTGGATCCTTCCAATTCAGCACCCACTTCTGTTGCCATTGAAGTTTTGCCTGTTCCCCCTAAGCCTTCCAGCCCAATCATATTGTTTTCTTCATCTTCTAGTGCCTTTTTAAGTTCTTTAAATATTGACTTTCTGCTCTCAAAATACGTGAAATTTGGTAAGCAATGGTATTTTATACCCGGAAAATCAGTTGAACCTGCCACTATATCAAAGTTACATCTTTTTAGAAGTCTGTCAATATCTAGAGTCCCCTTCGCCAAGTCTCTGCCTTTCTGATATTGAGGCCAGCAATTAAGACACAAGTCATTAAAGCATTTCTCTTTCTTAGTGTCAACATCAATGAGTTTTTCAACTTCATGTGTCCATTGTAGTGCTCCAGATGTGACAAAAGAAACACCTCTAGCTTGATCAATTATTCTCCTTACATCTTCGAGTTTTGCTTTCAATCTTTCCTTTGCTTGCTCATACTCTTGAACATAACTATTGAAGCAACATATATATTGAGCTCCATTTTTCACCAAGTTCACTAAACTCTGGGTTTCGTTCTTTACAAGTTCAGCAGGGATGCTCTCCATCTAACAGGGAAATAAACTTAATGTTATTCTATCTTTCTATCTTGATTTAAGTTGTGAAATACCCACATAATTATTATAATAAGATGAAAAATGAAGGGGACCAACTATAAAGAGGAGCAAAATGTATACTAATTTGGTACTTAGTGTAATCATCTTAGAAAGTAAAATACATGAATTTGAACGCTGAAAGAAATTCACTATAAGTCATACATTATTATGACTCAACTAATGCATTTTGAAGCTGGATTTGGATAGTGGTTTCAAATCGGAGGCCACCTAGACTACATTAAAATTTGCTATTTAAAGGAATGGCTTAATGGACAGTGAGACTGGGGAACCATGTGATATAGAAGAAATGAGAGATAAAAGTTTTCATTAGAATAGGCAAACAGCCCCCCAATCTTTGACATCTCGTGTTGTACCTAAATCATGCCAATCCTATTAGTAACCACCAATATTTTTGACTTAATTATTGTGTATCATACCTAGCAAAACCCTTTCATAACCATCATCTGAGAAACTTCTTCAAAATGGCATGAATAAACCATCCTTTGATCTTTCTCCACCAATCTTCTAAGGCTTCAACTTTAGGAAGATAAGGAAAAAGATGGAAGTATTCATCAAGGGACGAAATTTGAAATTTGGGAAATAATCCTCTATGGTTATACACCTCTGATCTACTTATGAAACTAGCCAATGGTGCCTTCGTGGATAAGCCAAAAGAATTTTGGGGACAATAATATATATTGTTTTCATTGCTCATTCACTTTAGATCACTCTGCTGTTACTCCAGGTTTTAGCTCTAGTCTCTCTTCATTTCTCATTTGCTTTTGTAGATTGGTCCCTGCCTCTTACTAATTGCTTTGATTGAGTTTTTTTTTGCTACCTCTGGGAGAGACAATTCCAACAACACCCGAATTGTGCATGAGATACCTCATACATGTAGCATAACGAATCAATTTCGACACTAATGAGAATGCACACCTAATAAAAGTAGCCCCAATCCTAGCCATCTTTAAAGGCCTGTTTGGTTGGAGAGGGGGGTGAGGGAGAAGAGGAAAAATGAGCGCCTCCTCTCATTTGGTTAGAAATGTTAGAGGGGAGGGGAGCAAAAATCCCCCCTCTCCTCCCTCACTTTCTCCTATTTTAGCTCCCCTTCAAATTGAGACTTTTTAGAGGGAAACTAAATTCTTAGACCATTTTACTTTTACTTTTATTATATTTTATAAATACACATAAAAAATATATTATTATAATTTCAAATAAAAATACATTACTCTAAATAAATATATTATTATAATTAAAAATATATTATAATCAAAATTAATTTAAAATAAAAAAATTATTAAAGTGAAAAATTATCTTATTATAAATTAATTATTTTTTACAAAAATATTATTTTCTTAACTAAAATATGTTTTAAAGCACGAAGAAAAAGCATAGCCAAAGGAGAACAAAAATTTCATTTTTTAAAAAACAAAGTAAATTTGCTAATTTGATTATTTGAAATATATTATTATGCTAATTAGAATAAAAATTTACTGTACCACTTGTTTAATATAGATATTAATACAACAATATTGCATTTTTATTAAATTACATAATTTGAATTAAGATAAATTAATTTATGTAATATATAAATAAAAATAAAAATTAATATGTGAGGGTAAAATGACAAATTGATTATTATTATCTATCTCCTCCCTCTCTTGAATTAAACAAAAGATCATTAAATATTCCTCCTCTCCTCCTATTTAATCAAACCAAACAAAATAAGGTTGATGATATAAAACGAGAAGAGGGAAGAGAAAAGGAAGAGATTAGAAAGAGCAAAGAAGGGAGAATAGAGAATAGAGAAGAGGAAACAAGCCGAGAGAAAACGATAACTGCAACATCATTTAATAATCAAGTCTGCCATAAAATGAAAACCTTAAATCTAATTATACTAAAGCAATAATAATAATAATAACAACAACAACAACAACCAATCCTAATAATAAAAATACTAAACCACTAATAAATATAAATAAATCCTAAAATGATAATAAATCCAAATAAATCAAATATCCTAAAAATATAATAAAATTATAATTATTTTTTCATATTCCATCGGTTAAAACCTCTTCCACCCTCCCCCACCCTGTCTTCAATCCAAACAGGCCCCATATTTCAACAAGAAGAGAAGTAATGCAGGGTGAAAGAAAAAAGTCCAAGTAAGACTAGGACAAGAGCCCCCCACCAACAGTCTGACAAGTTTTAGAATATCACATTACTTTTGTTCTTTTGGTGTGTTGGATATATGACACACTTCATACTTCGTAATAGAAGTCATCACCAAAATGCTAAAAATATGATTAATTTTAGAAATAGTATTGATATATATATCTCTCTCTCTCTCGAAAGCGTAAGGAAAATAACAATAGAAACATAAAGATGATATAAAAATAATAAAGAGAAGCCACAGGCCGTTTGGCCGAGTGGCATGTGTGTGTGTTGGGTGCGTGGGTTGCGGGTTCAATCCCGTCCTGTTGTAACTAAAAAATAATAATAATAATCATAATAATAATAATAAAGAGAAACACTAGCAAATTAGATTATATCCTTGCCTTTTCTTTTTGGGAAATTTTAGTCCCCTGGATTAATACAAGAACTCAAATCCTGCCAACCAAAAATATGCAAAAGAATTCATTATATGAGAAATATTATTGATAGAAAATATATAACAAGTCTGAGATGAAAGTGATTAAAAATTAATTCCTTCACATAATATCATTTGGGATCAAAAGGAAATACGCATATCTTATCATTAAAACTATGCAAAAAAAAAATCATAATGTATATTTATCAAATTTTCAAATAAAAAGGTCATACCAAAGGAAAGGTAGCAAAGTTATTGACTTGGATATTAATATTGTGTTGGTCAGTTGTTTGTGTGATTGATTGTGATGATTGTCTGAGCTAAATTTTATGATTGAACATGTAATATATAGAATAAGATCTAGCTATGCAGTGCAAATAAAACGGCCTTATATATATATACATATATATATAATACGTTAGCAAAATATATATAAAATAAAATATATATTATTCATTCTATACAATAAAATCTGGAAAGGATAAAAGAGCTTGTCTAAGACATATTTAAGGCTTAGACATATTATTCAAAATTAAATTGCCTAAAAAATTAATTATTGGCCAAAAAACCTATTTTCGGATGAAATTTTTAAAAAAATAAAGAAGAAATAGTTTATAAAATTATTCAGAGTCTTGAAAATTGGGGCAACATTAACATTATTTGAGGATTTGGATATATTATGAAGAGGTCTATTTTCCAAAAATAGCTTTCATAATTTTAAAACTAATTTATATGAGGATTAAGGTTCTATTTTCTTGAATAATTCAAGAAAAAATAGTTAGAAAATAATCAAAATATTGATTTGGCCCAACAATTTTATAGAAATTATTTTATGAGGCAAAGAATTAAATGGAATATGAAGGACAAAACATTTTATAAAATGTCCCAGAACATTTAGCGCTTAAATTCCAATAAAGTAAGGTTTCAATGGTAAATTTAATACACAAAACACAAAAATCTTTCAGGGCCACGCTTGGGCCCAGTTTAGAAGATAAAGGCCATGTCCCATCCTAATATGAAGAAGAGGGCTTTTTTTTGGGAAAAATTAGAAATAAAACTCTTGTTGAAAATTTAATTGACTAATAAGACTTAAGAATTTTGTGTAACTTAACTTCTATTATGTATGACTTTTTTTTTTTTTGCGTAATTTATTTTTCCTTATGTGCAATGATCTTCTTTTGTGCAATATGCAACACAATTTTCTTTGTGCAAATAAAATTTTTTTATATGCAAGTTATCTTCTTTATATACAAACGAATTTCTTATATCCAATAATATTCTGTGCAAACTATTTTTCTTTTGTGCAACTTACCTTCCTTTGTATGCAACTAATCTTTCCTTATATAATTAATCATCCTAAGTCCCATTTACCAAATAAATTTTCAATGAGGGATTTATCCCCAATTTTTTCTTTCTTTTTTTGGCCAACAAGGTGAATTATTGATGTGGGTCCCACAAGTATCAAAATAATATTTAAATTCAAGCTATGCTATAAAATGAGAAGAAAAAAAGAAAACTAGAGAGCGTAAAGAAAAGTAAGAGATAAAGAAGATAATGATTTTTTTGTCATCCACTTTGTTTCATAGTATAAATATTTTATGTATGACCTCTATTTATAGGTCTCCAAGCATTGAAGTCCTATATTGAGATTACAAAAGAATAAAGAATATCGCAATGCCATTAAAAATGAGAAACTATATTTTTTATTTAAAATGATAATTATATACATTGGTAATATAAAAGTCCTCTATATATTTTATTTTTCGGATCACAAGTTTTATGCTACACACTTCTCCTTTGTTTCCCAATATTATTCATTTTTAGTTTTGATAAAATTACACGAATGTTGTTGTACGAAAATAACAAAAAGTATTTTATGGTCATTAGTAAAAGTTATAACCTAAAAGTCTAACAAATATATCAACATTACATGAAAAGAAACAAGATAAAGATATATTACCTTAAAAAAATCGATGAAGAATAACCAATAAAGAGAACAATAAGAAGACTATTACACAAATCTGTCAATCAGAAACACACAATTTAGTATTTACAATTTTTGATGATGAAAATGTTTAATGCTGGTTTGGACATAATTTAAAGCACAAATTTCTTTCTCCAGGCATCAAATTTCAACCATTAAGTCTTATCTTACATGATACAAATTGCAAATAAAAGTAATCGTATAAATATAAAATTCTCAAAATGATTGTATATATTAAAATTGTAAACCATGTTGTAATTGATAGTCCAGACCAGTTATATACCAAAAGACAATATAAGCATTAACAAGAAATGAAACATGATTTAATATATTCTTACCCTTTTTTGGTGAGATTTCAATGTTGTTGGACAAAGAGAC